CTCCACCAAAGTCAGTAGCACTAGATCATGAACTCAACTCCAATGGCCGGGGCACTCTCCTGGCTCAGACCGGTCCATGGGAGGCGCCGCTTACATGCTAAAGGGGGACAACCATAATGGAAGGCGACCATGCGCCGATGAGGTGACTTGGCACCGATGTGAAGGGTCTCTTGTATGCCGATGATGACAGGCACCTATGTGCCATGATGATAGGCAACCGCTTGGGCCGGAACACACCCGTGCGCTAGGGGCAACGGAATATCTCAATCAGCTTGGGCAAGGGACTGGCGAGGTGAAGGGACATGCTTGAGCCAGGCCCGCATGCCAAGCCTCCCTTGAGTATCGGTAGCGCAGTGTCGATCCAACACTGTCCCCATGAGCAAGTGTGCGCCCATGAGGAACCCTGGTAGCCATGTTAGCCGTTAACCAGGGCCGCCCCGTAAGGGGATGAAGGTCTAGGAGTGCCAAGGTTATGCACCCAAGGAGGTCGACCACCCCTCCTCAAAGAGTACGTTAAGCTTTTGGTGGTCTGGCTGAAATGACATCAGTTCTCCCAAAAATCTTACAGGCGAAAATGACGGACATGTCTCTAACGTAAGCCTACCAAGCATAGGCAAGGCTAAGCCTGTGCTGAACCGTCACATTGGTGCACGAGATCGCATGCTTCACGAATCACGGGAGAGAGAGAGAGAGAGGATGAGAGGAGGGCCGAGGGAGCACCAACCTTGGAAGGAGGAAAGGAGTTCCTATAAATGATGATAATGTGGTTGGTTGGGAGCACTTTGGGCACAAGACGCACGATACCCATTAGCTCCCGCAAATTTAGCCGTCTACTGCAGCCGTGGAAAGCCCAACTCTTCTCCCACTTTCAAACTCCCTTGTCCTCTCTTTTACCCCCCGGCCCCCACCACACACACACAGAGAGAAAGATTGGTCAGTTTTGGTTTTGGCCCTTTCGGGGGGTAATAGAAGGCACAGTTAAGTGGGTTTTCTTTCATCTACTCTTTTGGGATGTGGGTTGGGTATGGGTAAACTTGAAACCGGTTAAACAATGAAAGTTGGACCAGGTTGCATAGTCCAATGATAATGATGAGAAGCGAGAGATGAGCAGGCAAGAGCTAACCCAGATGTATTTGTCTTTAACTGATTCCAACATAGACATAGTTCCCCACTCCCCACCATGCAATGCCTTGCTTTATTTATTTTTGTGTCTACTACTCAAATCAAGGTAAATTAAAGCATTCTAGTTAACTTCAGATGGGTTTTATTTTTAATCCATAAACCATATTCAGTCTCCCTCTCTCCTGTCTGTGCTGTTTGCCTTTATTATTACCATCTTAATTAATACCACATATATCAAGGCTTCTTCCTTTTTTATGTCGAGATCCTTGGATGAAATTTCAGTGACAAATTCACCACCACCTCACTCTGATCAGTATCAAGGCTTCTTCCTTTTTTATGTCGAGATCCTTGGATGAGATTTCAGTGACAAATTCACCACCACCTCACTCTGATCAGTACTCTCCTAAGTCCTGATTAATTTGGTCGATGCCAAAAAGTGCGAGATTTGAAGGGAATATTGTGTTGTACGGCAGGCTGCTTACTTTAAACTCAGGTGGGGATCCATTTCCCACATTGCTAACACGTACTTGTCTGTGCTTTAACCCCAAAACCTCTCCTAATTTACAAATCTGTGGACTCTGCAGGGAATTCACAACTGAGAGTTTCCTGCCTAACTATTTCAGCCCATATACATATTAGCTCTAGCAAATAGGAGTAACAAAGTTTTTGGCCAGTGACAAATGACAATTGATTTGACAACATCAAGTGGGTCCATGTGCTTCTCATCTCATCTATAGTCCATACCACCCTATCTAGCCAGTATAAGCCGCCTTTAGGTAATGGGTAAATTTTTTAAACTACCCCTTACCCCTATTGTAGACAACCCCACTTCCTAAGTTCCTAACCCAATATTAATGTGGACATCAGATATATACAAATTTAAGACATATTTTATATCTCAGAGCATTGGGATAAGATCATAGACAATACAACTTGTATACTTGTCGGCTTCCTTATTAATTACCACTCATAGACAGATAAACGACTAATACTTCATAAGATTGTAATAAGGGTTACAGTACAGTGAGTTTCTAAAATCCCATACTAACTTAACAAAAATGATTCTCTTCTTTACGCGTCCCTACAACTACAAGCAGAAACAGAAATCCCTTTACTTTCTTTATAGGAAAAGCAACAGAGATCCTTTTACATGTTCATCAAGTGCTGTCTGTAGGCCTGAACCGACCATACATCAACGATTATCATTCCCGACTTTACAAATATACAAAAACAATTTTGGTTTAATAAATATGTTTTCTGTTGCACGCCTTCAATCTCCTGACTGAGTTACGGTTTGTACTTATGACTGACCATTCCCGGCTTGCTCTAGAAAATCTTAGATTAAAATATAAACTATTCATGGCGGATGATCAATGCTTATTTTAATCAGAATAAGCAAAGAAAAGAAGAAATGCAGAACACAAACATAAACATCCCAACACATATACAAAGACAAAGGGATTGAGCAAATTAAAACAACGCCACCTTCATCACGGTTTCTAAACATTCACAATAATCAAAACCCAGGAAAAAAACAAATGATATCATCGGGTGCCACAACTGCCGCTAAGAATTGGTGCTCCTCTCTTAATGGCGTCCATTTGAGTGGTCTCGTAAACAGGTAGACCACTTGAGTAGAAACCCAAATCATAATTCTGTAGCTCAAACAGATCAGAGCTTGAATCACTCTCCCCACCATCATCTACTTCACCAAAACTTGTAAAATTCTTCTTCTCAGACGAGTTATACTCTCCCACCCAAGTTCTATCTTTCTCCAAAAACCCACTATTTACGTTCTTAGTTTTCTCCCGAAACCCATCATTGAATTTCAGTTTTTCATCCAACCAACTCAAATCCATGTTTCTCTTCTCGTTCAACGCCTCATCGTGGTGTAAACCCAAACCATTAACACTCCTTATTACCTGCCCACAAGTATACTTGGTCGACAAAGGCGCCACCTGCTTGTGGTCTGAATAGCTCTTGATATCCTTGAACATCTTTGTAGGAGTGTTTGCACAAGGAGGAGGTGTTCTAAAACCAGAGCTTGAAGATGAATGCAACGACTTTGAATCGGTGGTAGTGCTGGTGCTTCGAAAATGACTAATGCTGCTCCTCCTTTTTCTCCTCCCACCTGGGCTCTCCTCTTCATCTTTCATCGACTCCGCGCTGGACTTTGATTTCTTCTTCTTAGAAGCGGCTTGGTGGAATAAAGAATTCAGAAAGCTAGCAAGTCTACCACCTGGAGACCTGGGTTGCTTGTGCTTCTTCTCTTTGATTTGGCTTTCGATATTGTGATGCGACTCCGATGGAAGTGGGTTCCTCATCGGCATATCTAAGCTCATCCTTCTGCCTGCCCACATCTGCCTCTCTTCTCTCATGTTCCTTTGAGAAAAAGATGCACCATTCATCAACCCGGGGACCTCGTTGCAGCCGGAGAAGTACCGTGCGGCTTCGAACACGTCAAGTTCACCGGAATCATTTCTCCGGTGAATTGACCTGTAAATCTTATCTGAGTGTGAGAATCCTGTGATGGACATGGTTGGTTGTTCTTGTTGATAAGGGTTGGGTTGGGTTGTTAATTATAAGGATATGTGCAGGAGGGCTAGCTGTTGAACTGGCTTTACATGCGTGGGCTAGTGCTTATGGCAAGAGCAACAGAGAGAAATATAAAAGGAGGGATTTGTGAGATTGTAGCTAGATAGGTGGAGAGATTCATTGAAATGTTGGGGGGGGGGGGGGGGGGGGGGGGGGGGGGTCACTTTTGATAATCCACTGCACCTCAACTCCATATAAATAATAATATATGTTGAAGCTATTTTTGAGCTTTTGGAGAGACCCACTTGATACCAAGTTTTAGCTTTCTTTTGGGTAGATGGTGGGGAGAGATGGAATCATGGAACAACCTCTTATCCTTCTCCTTCCGTCGATAAACAAACTTGTGTTGTGGGTTTTAGGAGAACTGGAGCAGTGAGTTTTGTCTCCTTGGATTCTCGGCTCAGTAGGCAGTACCTTTGGAAGTACTGGCCTCAGCTGCTGTCAGTCATTTTACGTCTGTGTTTTTGTGTATATCAAATATCAAAGAAGAAATCAGAATGAATAGACCCATTTTTTTTTCTAAGCTCCCTGCCTTCCTTTCCTCATAGCTATGAGCCTATGAGATAATGTTGTGTTAGTCAATGGGTCTTGTGGCCCATGACCCATCAATTCCTGCCCAAGTGCCCATCACTCCCTGAAAGATAATAGACTGTAGTGGGCACACCTCGGTCCTGGCCTTGTCTAGGTGCTTCAACTCGTGTGGTCGCACGTGCTTGGGGGGGAGAAATATTAAATGCTTCATGTCTATGATATAATCAAGGCCCTTGCCTGCAGGGAGATAAGAGAGATATCTGAATGTTTTTTGATAATATGACCCACATGCATGGACATCATTTGATGGATGCACCAAGATCTCCTGTACCCATCCAATGAATTGATCGTGACAGTTCAATTAAGATTAATTTGATCTAAGTTGATCTTTGGCATTCATCTGATATGACAAATGGTCCCCCTTCTCCCTTGGCCAAAACATACAAATAATAGCCCATGCATTTATAGTCAATTGATGGTTCCAAAAGATATTTATAGCGTAAGGTGAAAAAAATAATATATTTATTCTAACTGTATAAATATTCTTCATTATTCTTGCAAATCCTAGACTGAATGACTGATTATTTATTTTTCTATGGATATGGAAACATAGATAGATATCTATTAGGTAGATTGATTGATTGATTGATTGAATAATTTGTTGGTTTCGCCTAAATCAGTATATGTTCCGTATAAAGTAGAAAGTACAACACCAAATGCACAGAACGATCCAGCCCAGATCGACCAAGGCGGTAACGGTTGAGGCATTCAAACAGCAGCTGACGCAGGGCTGTAAGCACGAAAAGATTGATCCATTTGGTATGTGTTCAAAATCTAAGGTCCAGGAAAGGCCCACCTACAAGCGGAAAACGTGGACTACATTTGATGGTGGTCATACCCAACACTAATGGATGGGCCTGCATAGGCTCACTGAGCTACGCTAGTTGAGCCCCCACGTGACCGTTGCCACCCAATCCACCAGCTTCTTTAGCCCTTGCTAAATCCTAATTATCGAATGGGCGTCTGTTTGGTTGCTTTCCTTGAGCATGCGCCACGCTTTCTAAAGTGATATTGTTTGGTCATCCTTGTTCCGTGAGTCCAATCTGCTGCCTTGCAAGTTGCAACCACTCACCCATACCTAGAGGCTAGAGCAAAGTTGGTGGGGTGCCAATCGAATGCTCAAGTGTTGAAGTTGTGAACTTGTGATCCACAGAAGAAAAACTGAAGTGGATTTCATCTGAGATGGTGACTTCTCACAGATTATGCTGCTTTCATAGACAAAATATATGTTGACAAAGGTTATAATTTTGGCCAGATGTCGAGGGCCTTGTGTTGCCTGTTGGATTACAAGGGGAAGAGGCCCAAGGGCGGACCCGTTCAAATCAGTCGGTGCCCCAGTGGCCCGGCACTTCCTCGTTCTTATCATTCTAGGAGTATTGCCTGTATTGGCATTGCAAGGGGTCAGGATCAGCACAGTTTGTGGTAACAGGCAATTGGGCACCGCCCTTTGCCCTTTGCCCTTTGGAAATTGTGGCTACTGGCTAGACAGGAAGGGACATGGTCCTAAACTGTTGTTCCCTGGAATAGTTTTGCCCTCTACATACCCTCTTCCTATTAAGGGTTAGGGGTGGTACCCCAGTACCCCTTACCCCTAGTAGGCTTTCCTAGAGGACAGGACATGAGAACCAATCTGAGAAATGGACATGCGGTGAGCAACTAGCCAGAGACACTGGGACAATGAGACATCCAAGTCATGAGCATCGAAGCTGGTCCCGAGAGAGGACTGCAGTTACCGGATCAAGTGAAGCACTTCTCTCTTTGACGAGAGAGAGAGAGAGAGAGACGTGGCCCTCCTCAATACACATATAGTGCTATCTTCAAACTGTGTGCCTCGCAAATTTCTGTTTACTTCTTCACCCATTGGCCAATTTCACTCATCCCCTGCTACGGCTTAAACTTGCTGTCTCTTAAGTCTAACTTATCCAAAAGCATATTTACGTACCTTTTTTCACAAAAGAAGAAAAGCCTTTCAGCATCCAAACTAAGGAAAGAGACCATCACATATCGTGGAGATAGACCATAACATTAACCACAGATGTCTATTGAGTTGTCAAAATCTAACATCTATTTGGTCCATCCTTCTGGATTCTGATTCAGTCTCTTAAATTTTCCTCGTTGATGAACTGTCCAGGTTTTGGAACATTGCTATATGTGTTTAAAAATCGTTCAGCAAAAATTATGGGTCACCATACTCTCTCTCTCTCTCTCTCTCTCCCACTTTTGTGGCAATAATACAGTTACAGTTTGTCAAGTATTTACTGCTAGCGCTTCTAGGATAGGGACAAGACAATAACCATACACTTCAACTAGGTTAGGTTATTATTAAATAGATATATAGCCGCTACTTGACAATATAAATATCTGACAGAAGTTAAAGAAAAAGTGTGGTGCAATGCGGATCAAGATCCACAATTTTATTTATAGTGTCCATCTAAAGTTCATAAAGTCGTCAATGAATTACTACCATCTGACTTAAGTAATAGAGATGTATTTTCTCTACTGTTGTAATGAATGAATTTATTCTCTTTGGTGATTAGATGGTGGATCCCTGCCCCTTCAATGTGGCCATGTAGTGGTTGAAGCTAGTCTTGAATAGGTATATATTATAGAAAGAAAATTAGCACACTTGCTGCTGCTACTGCTCTTTTGTGACTCTCTGCTTACGCCTGCTTTCTGAACATTCATTCAAGACTCAAGAGAAACTCATCCTTTCTGTACAAGAAGGTGGCTTCCAATTTCTAATCCTTCCTATTTAACTTTAGTGTGTGACTATTTCTGTTCTCTTATCGGATCTGTCACATTCCTATCAGAAACCCCATTGGACGGATAGATCAAATATTATATATAGAGGTGTGGTGGATTCATCATAAACTGGAAATGGGAGTGGCTCCACAGGAGAGACTTCATGGTGGATAAGTAAGTGGAGCTGTCAAATTAGTCTGCATATATATTAAATGGTTATCACTGTCCATATATATGGCGGAGAACTTGTAGAGGTTCATCTCCTGTCCAAGGTTTAGCCCAAATCAAGGGATGGGAATTAGACCGGATTTTCCGATTGGGGACACCTTGTGGACACAAGTGAATATACATACAGTGGTTCAAACTTCAAACTGTGGTATGGGTCATTCCCTATAATTAAGGCTGCCAATGGATCTAACCACAATCCAGTATGAACCCAATTCAATTAAACCAGAACCCCATCTCAAATTAATGGTAGATCAATTTATATAATTGTGTGTGGCATTGTGATTTCCACAGTTAGGCTGCCTTTTGGATTCATCGTAGATGGTGAGTGGCTCTGAGTTGCAAGCAACAGAAAACAGTCATTATATATAATCAACTTCAAACCATGTCCCCATAAAGCTGGACCAATCTATTATCAATTACTGTAGAATTCTTGGTCTTATGTTCCAGACCATCTGAATGTCTAGATTGGATTCAAAGATGACCACCCACAAGGGCAACAATGGTGATCATCAGACTGGAGAGATCACGTGGAAAAAGACCATGTGACCCACTCTTGTTCGGCATCACTTATTGCTTCCAACATTCAGATATCAAAGAAGAAGAAGAAAAGGAAATGTTAAGCCAATGAGGGAAAATCAATCAAATTATATGCTTTTCGGCTTTTCCCCACCTCTGCAGCGCCCCTGTCTGCTGTGTATCAGAAAAATATGCATTAGTTAATTCTGCAGTAGGAGATATGTATATATCCATTGAAATTTGATATATTGTGTATCATCTCCTGGATAAGACAGCAGGTTGCTTACTATGTTTTTGTCTCTGTTTGATGCTACATTTTCTTTTCTTCTGCTTTTATTGATTTTGAATAGGCGTACATGTGTAGAAGCTGTGGTTGTGAAGAAAGCACAGGCCCGCACTGCTCAATGATGAAGAAAGGAAAGCACAAGTGGATGAATTGGATGGAAAGATACACGCAGAAATAGCAAAATTCAGACACAATAATGTAGGTCAGCTATTGCAGTAGTATGCAACTAAAGGACTGGTGTTATCACACCCTTGTTACATCAGTTCTAGGGTCTGCCCAGCCTGAGATGGCAGTCTGTCATCCAATGCAGGAAGCTGTAAGAGCTGATATGGCTTGACATGGAAGCCTTGATTTAACCACCCACAGCTTGCCAAATTGGCCTATGGGACAACAGAGATGTACCCAGAAGCACAAGAAAGAAACAGAAGAATAGATCAATGTACTACGGCCAAAAATAAATAAATAAAACGATTGTATGAGTAGAATTGGAGAGATGCAATTACCCAGTGACTTGCTTTCATTGCCATATGGCCCATAACCTTGCCAAAGTTGCCACTAATCCACTTGTATGTGACTAAACTATAAGAAGATGAATATACATACTATGTAGTGCTCAAATCAAATCATTTCAGCTAATCCGGACTCCATGCCACCTCTTTCTACGGCTGCAAAAGGATATAAGTAGATCCAAATTTGATTTATTTATATTGGAATTCATATATCACATCATACCCATTGGATATCTAGCATGTTTAAATT